CCCCCCCCCCCCCCCCGTAAAAATACTGTTGGATGCTCTTCTGGGGCTTGGGAAAAGGGTTTGAACCATTTCCTTCAACTGAAATCTCTTGTGGCATCTGCCACTTCTTTTCTTGTATTAATGAGAAGGTCTGTTGCGGGGGGAGAGCTGCAACCCTAACAAAGACAAATGAAATGTTAATGGGCTTGGGAGTGAGTAGGGCCTGGTCTCTGCCAATATCCTTCTGCAGGGAGAACTCCATCAGGCTGCCGGACGCACGAACGATGCTGTTAAACATGTACATGCGTTTCCTCTCTCAGGAGGGGATGGATCTGGTCTGAGGCAACAGTAAGAAGAGCTATTTCTGTGAGGAAGGAAGCCTGAGCTGATCCCTGTTCTCTTTTTTTCCCCCTCTTTCACAGGTCCCAAACAAGTTTCGTTATCCCTTCTACTACGAGATGTGTTGGTACGTGCTGGAGCGCTACGTCTACTGCATCACCAGCCGCTCCCACCTGACCAAGGACTTCCAGAAGGAATCTCTCAGCATGGGTGAGCACTGGTTCTCCAGCCCTTTTTTCCCCTCCCTCACCTCTATCGGAGCCGTTTCTTCCACCCTCCTGCTGGGGAACTGTCTGCCTCAGTGGGAAGAATTTAGGACCGTGGCTTCCTCAATTTCACAAGGTGGTTTTTTTGGGGGGTATTTCTTCCCTTTTTTTGCTATACTGAGCACTCAGAGGGCACCGCAGACAGGCTGAAGGAGGTGCCATTTTATTTCTTTTCCTTTGAGCAAGTCGGCAAAACCAGCCAGACTTTTGCTTCCTCCTTTGCCCCCGCGACGGGCCGCACTTCCTCGCAGCTGTGAAACCAGCATGCAGAGTTGCAGGCCTTGCTGGTTCATGCAAAAAAAAAGCCTTTAAGAGAAGAGGTGGAGGGGAAGTTGCAGTAACCACTGGTGGGCTGTGGGTTGGGCGGCAGAAATGCTTTCTTGCTGATGGGGGGGCCCTTCCTGCACGCAGAAGTTAAAGCACTCTCAAGGTTCTGTGCACGGGAGGGCAGGGAGTCTCTCGCAGAAGGAGTGTTTGGCCTCCTCACAGCCAAGATATGTGGGGCCTGAGCAGAGGTTCAAGAGATGGTTCCTTAGAGACCCTTCTTCGGGGTGGGAGAGAGCTGGGTAGCTTCTACCCAAGGTCCTTGAAGCAAATCTGTCCTCACTCTCCTAAGAGGCTGTAAAACGCTGACTCCTGGGCACCTCTTCTCACAGCCACAGCCTCTTCTGGGCTTTATTTCTGCCCAAGGGGTCCTGGCAGAGGGACACAGCTCCCTGCTTTTCTCCTGTGTCCCTCTTGAGATCTCCATCAGCACTTTGGTTGGGAAAGGTTCTCTGTCCTCCTCCTGCTTGGAGGCCTCCAGTGCCTCCGTCGCCTTTTCTCCACCACTGAGCAGCAGGAAGTGGGAGCTGGGAGAGCTGAAAGGAAAGGAGAGGTGCTTTATTTGCATAATCAGGCTTGGAGACCTCCTGGTCATCTAATGAACCCGCATCCTCTTTCTGCCATAAGGAAGGCAGGATTGAGGTCCCAAGTCACTCGCAGGACCAAATGGCTGGAGGATCTCAAGTCCTCCAAAGCAAAATCAGGTTGGATGGGCCTTGAGCAACCTGGTCTAGTGAAAGATGTTCCTGCCCATGATCTTTAAAGGTCCCTTCTAACGTAAACCATTCCAGAATTCCATTAAATTCAGCCTAGAGTGTTGCTGTCATCTCCTCTGGGAGGTCATCCTGTGCCTCACCTTCCCACAAAACAAGCCAGGGATGGGGAAGGATTTTAGCTGTTTTTTTCTAGCCACTGTGTGCCCCGTTGTGTCCTCTCACCTTCTCCACTACGTATTGGTTGCTCCGGTCTCTCTGGTAACTGGTGGGGGGATTCCTCTAGAAACCAAACATCTCCTGTGTGTGAGTGATTTTGTGGCCACTGTGCTCTTCTCTCACTTCTCCTCCATCCTGGCAGATATGGAGCTGAGCTCCTCCGACTCGGTAAACATGGAAGAGGAGGAGGAGGAGGAAGAAGAGGAAGACGCAGCAGGGAAAGAAGCCAGGCGACCGGTCACAAGACGGTCCATTCTCACCAGCCCAATAGCCAACGGTGCCAATGTGGACTATGATGAACTGGGCAAGAGCTGCCAGAGCAGCCTGCCGGGTCTGAAGAAGACCACATCTATAGACTCTTCTGACTCCAGCCGGGGCTCCCAAAACGGCCAGGCCTGGGACCCCAATGGTGGCAGCCCACGCAAGAGCAGGAAGGTCCACCTGACGCAGTTTGAGCTGGAGGGGCTGCGCTGCCTCGTGGACAAACTGGAGTCCCTCCCTCTGCACAAGAAGTGTGTTCCCACCGGCATTGAGGACGAGGACGCCCTCATCGCTGACGTCAAGGTATGTAGGCCCCAGGGAGCTGTTCCTCGGGGTTCCTCGTTCGCTTTCTTGCGGCGTCGGAGGTGGAAAAGCATTTGTCCACGGGGAAGCTGTGCTTGACCCCCATCTTGGGGCCTAGGTGGTGATGTTTCTGCAGGCTTGGTGTCCTCTTCTTCCTCCACACGAGGCTGATGTTGTACCAGCTGATGCTGAGGGACGGCCCTGGCTTGGATTTTGGGTGAGGTGCTACCAGGAGCAGTAACTGCTCCCAGCCAGCGTGGCTGAACCTCCTCTGGGGACCCTCTGTCCAGGTCCCTTATGGGTGTCAGTGCAAGAGCAGTTGTGATGCAGTTTGTTTCCAGTTTCTGGCTGTAGACTCCTTGGGCTGTTGGACACTGTGATGGTCACAGCCCTTTCCTTGCCTCAGGTGGATTTGGTCTTGTTTCTTTGGGTGTGACTTTAGGTTATATGAATTTTGTGGGTTTTTTTCCTTCCCTGCTTTACACCCTGAGCTGTATCTGCCAAACCTGTTGTGCTGACTCCATGAGACCCTTTGGTGTTTTAGCCCTTTCAGCACTGAATTGAGAACATTGGCCTCCCTCTATTCCTCAAAAGTCCATTTTATTCCCCAAAACCACAGTTACCTTCTGCTCCCATCCTTGTTGATGGTGATCTGTTGAGCTGCTCGCCTGAACCAACGCTGACATACAGATACAGCCATGGGTATATCTCGACCTTCACTGTTGTGTTTCTTTTTCTGTCTCCTGATCTTTTTTTTGGTATTTTTTTTTGGGGGGGGGGGGGAGCATTTGGTAAATCCACCTCCCTGCTGCCTTTGGAGCAGAGGATGCTGCTCTGGGGTCCCAGGATGGGCTGTGGTTTGCTCTGGTGGAGCTTGGCTGAAGGAATGGGAGTAGGTGCTGGTGATGGGCTGCAGTTCTGGTTTCCTGTGGCTTTTTCGTGTGCGCTGTGGCCTTTGTGTACTCAGCATGTTTCTGAGCCACCGTGGTGGGGTGGCCTTGGCCCTACCACACAGTGATGCTCTGGAGAAGCTCAGATTGAGCTGTGAGCACAGCATTTCACCCTTGGACTGAGAAAGGGAGTCTGGTGATGTGTGTTGGGTGTTTTGAAGGCAAAACTTTCAAGGTTGTTGTTGTTCAACTGGGTTTTGAGATGTTCAAATGACTTGTGATGTTGTGGAGCTAATGGATGTGTGGTTTTGATGGAACCCACCAGCCTCCGTGTCCAGTTACACCTCACAGATGAGCTGCAGGTGAAAGTCCCTGCAGTTTGGTCAGAGCAAACAGCTTCCCTGAAGGACTTGTTCCTTAAATCTGGCCATTCTCCAAGGTTCAAAAGTATCCTGAGCTGTAGGACTCTGTCCCTCAGGATCATTAGCAGCCTCCCAGGTAAAACTGGTACTACAGGGTGTCCTCAAGGCATGGAGTTCCTTAGGCATCAGACTGCAGTGGCTGGAGAAAACAGGACAAATTTGTCAAGCTACAACAAAGCTCTACTTTCAGAGCTCTACTTACATTTTCCTTAGAGGTGGTGGAACTGGCAAATGTTGGTTGGTTCATAAAACCTGATAAAAGGGTAAGACATTTCTGGCTGAGCCTTTTAACTGGTCTGGTCACTGAAAAATCCGATGAGTGAAGGTCTAATATCCAATATCAACAGCTTGTATGGAGAATACCTTACTTATTAACTTTTTTTAAGGGAGTTGTTACCAAGCCAGAGGTGAGAAGTGGCCATCTGTGCGTCTGTAACTCATGATGAGGGGTACACATCCCATTCCAGTCGTGTTTCCCATGTAAGCTTTGGTATAAATCCCTCCTCTTATACCTTTTGTGTTGTGGTGTGACTGTAGCTGACTGTCCCAGACCACTGTGTAAGTGCAGCCCTTCCCTTCTCCGGTCTTGGTTTGATGCTCCTGCCTTCCCTCCCAACTCTTGGAGGTGGGATCCATCATACTGTCCCCCAGACCTGCTATTTCTCTTTATGCACTAGTGGAGAACTACAGCCTAAGCCATTTTCAGTTATTTAAGCTAAATGGAAAGCAGATGTCCTCCACAGCATCGTATCCTGACTCTGGGACCATCAGTAGGAACTTGGTGCCCTTACGTCATCAAGTGAGGTCATTAATGGACCATGGGAGCAGGCACAGGGCAGGAAAACACTGCCTTTTTCCAGCCTCTTGTGTGGCAATTGTGTCTTTGGGATGTCCATGTGTTGGGTCACATGGAAAAGAAGCTTCTGTATCTTGTTATGGGTTGAGCCTGGAGCCGTCACATGGTGGGACGTGACACTTTGGACATGATGTGACAAAGATGTGCTTCCAGCTCCATGGCAGGTGGGACTGTCCATCTGCTGAGACTCTGAACTAAAGCTGCATCAGGCACCTTAAATAGGAAGAGCAAGTGGCCACCTCTGCCTCTCCTTAACCTTTCCAGCTTTGCCCTTCTCCCTTGGAAAGCTCCTGGTGTCACCACCTTGCTGCCTTCTGAACTGGTGGCTTGAGAGCTGCTCTCCAGTAGCTTAAACAGGAGGGTCTGGAGAAACCAAAAAGGCTTCTAGCACTGCCTTGAGAAAAGATCTGCCTTTGCAAAATGAGGTTGTGACATGTCACCTTGTAGCAGTGATGTCTTGCTGAAAAATCTCCGTGTGTTTGGTGATGGTCTGGACTGGAGTCATTGGGAAGATCGTTGGCAAAGAGGGAACTTCTCAGAGGTCCCACTGTCTTTTGAGTCCTTCTGTCCGTCACTGCTGACCCATCTTGGGATGGTTCCCCTCGTTTAGGCTTCAGAGGAGCAGGAGACTCTGGCTTTGGAGCTCTCAGACTTGCTGTTGGCTGACTTGTGGGACCTGGACCCACCTTTGAGTCATTCACTTGCCTCAGTGCCACCAAGCCCTGAGGCCTCAGTAACTGGCCCAAACGGGTTATCTTTGGAGGTGTTGGAGCTCCAACCATTGTAGAAGCAAAAAGTGTCTCCTAAAAGTGCGGATCCTGTCTCCAGAACCTCATCTCAAAGCCTCTGGTCTGGCATTGCCCATGTACCTGGCTCCATGTTGTGCTGGGTCTTTCCGTGATCAGAGACATCTCTTTTCTCCCTCTTTAAATGTGTTTTTTCTCTCCTGGTCAGCCTGGTCTTCTCCTCCTGTGGGTCATATCTGCCTGAAACGTCCCCTGTGGCTCCTGCTCTCCTTTCCCAGCCCCAGTAAATCTGCCAGCTGGAATCTGCTCTCCCAAGACAGTTTGTTTCTCCAGGTGTTCACATCTAGGAGAAGCAGCAAACACGGCAGCTCGCTGAAGCCCAGGGGATGTAAAAGCACTGGTGGGCGCCCTTGAGAGGAGAGAGTGATCTGAGGACACTCCACTCCCTCTCTGTGGCCATGGGGACAGTGCACAGTCCTCTATTTGATGCAGAGCAATGGGACATAGAGAGGAATTGGTGAGGAACGGGGCCACCTCCACCAGGGATGGATGGTGAAGGCCAGGGTGGCCTGTGAGCTGTGCTAAAAAGGTCCCCCCCATGGCAGGACAGTGATACTGGCCAGGTCAGATGATAAAAAACCACAGTATGATGTGCTGAGCTGTGTGTGGTGGTTCTCCCCATGGCAGTGGTGTGATGTTCATGAGATGCCTCCACCATGGCTGTCCAAATGGGAGCGCTTCAACCTGGAGCAGGTGGGGCCAAAGATCCCTCTGCTGTCCTGCTTGACCAGGTGTCACCTCCATGGGCCACCTGATGCGCTTGAGCTTGGTGATGTGACAGAGGAACTATCCTGCACATCTTCCACGCTGCAGGGCTGGATGTCCCCAGAGGGCAAGATCCATGGAGAGCCTGTTCCAGAGCCTGAGGGTGATGATGATGGTTCAGGTGGTGACAGTCTGGAGTCAGTGTGGCCCAGTGGCTTCCTGGGCTCTCCAGGGGCCACAGGAGAGAGAAGAACTGAGATTGCCCATCAGCGGGAGGGTTGCCTACTCCAGCATGGTTCCTTGAGGAACCTGCTTCATTTCAAGAGCTTCCTCCATTTTTAATTGCAGTGGTCTGGAGGTGGGAGGTGGGGGTCTGGGGGGAGACCTTGCTTCACCCGGACCGGGTTTATCCCCCTCTAGCTGTTAGGTCACCGGTGGCTTTGGGACTATGGCTGCTCCCAGACTTTAGGGATGCTTGTCAGGGAAGGGATTGTGCATCCAGGTCGGGAAGGTAAAGTCCCTGCAGCCCCCTGTGGTTTTGGGGTGGGGGGGTGGGGTGTCCCCCCTCTTTCCCTTTCTTTAAAAGCCCTTTCTCCCTGCTCCCACCACCACTGTCTCCTAGACCTATAGTGGGTTCCAGGAGGATGGACGGATGGACACACACCCCCCCCCACCCCAAAAAAAAGCCTCGCAGAAGACAAAAGAAAGCCATTGGGGAGGCATCCGTGCGGCACCAACCGCCCGGCCCGGCCCCTCCCGGGCTCTGCAGCAGAACGAAGGAGCAAGAGAGGGCAGAGCCGTTGCTTCGTTCGTTTCCCTGCCCCTTTTTTTTTTTTTTTTTTTTTTTTTCTCTCTCTCTCCTCTCCCTCTTCTGCCATCTTCCCGTTGCAAAGCATTGCTGGGAACCGCATGTGGGTGACGCAGCAGCATTGTTTCAGGCTCAGGAAGCTGCCGCTGCTGCTGCCCACAGGGCTCCTCGGGAGGAACACGAGGTTGCCAGGGCGGCTACCGGAGAGAGCCCGCCAGGAACCGGGGCTTCTCCGCTTTGGGGAGGGGTGTGGAGGGGGGAAAAAAACCCATTCCCCCAGCCATGTCCCCCAAGACCGGGGGTCGGGCTGGGGTCCGTTCGGACTGAGCCCACCCTCGGTGGTGTGTGGGGAAAGGTTGGTGGTGGTGGTGGTGGTGGAGGGGGGGGG